AGACGAAGAATGAGAATTATTGAAAGCGAAAGCGAAGATTCGTTACAAGACTTGGATGAATGACGTGATGTTACGGAAGAATTACATATTCCAGATAGAATACCTTTCAGTGTATTGCCACAGGTCGTTGGACCACAAGTTCCTACGAACATCGAACAGCCGATACAATATTTTAAATTATTTTTCACGGACGAATCGGTAAATGAAATGATAAAGGAAACCAACGATTACGCAGAAAATGTTCTAAACTTGAAAGAAATATCTAGTAACTCTATTTGGCAAAGTGAATACTGTGACACCTGTCCAAGTAAACCCAGAATGCGCATGGGAGATTGTTACCAAAGATATCGCACCATGGTGAATTACAAAATTTAAAATTTATCTTTTATTTACAATAGGAAAATGTATATTTATAAAATAAATTAAATATCAAATGCATTCGCAAGGACGTGTAATCTTTTCCGCTGAAAATAAGACTTCCTTTATCTCGGGCGCTCCGCTCCAAAAATGTGCCGGAGTTGCTGGTAGGCAGTACTCGAGAAACGCGCGGAGCGCTAAGGATTAAGAAGTAACGCGTGTTTTTCATAACGCGTCATTGAACGTGGACGGTAACTATAACGTTACCCGAACTGTATGATTGAGCTGTCTAAAAAAATACGTCGGTATTTTTTGCCGATATTAATCGAGCACGCTGAAAAAGGGCGCCAATCTTAAAGATTATGGCGAACATTCCACGCATATATTTACCTAACGAGCTTCCGCTAAAACAGATGGATCGAAGAAACGGCAATATACCATAAAAACGATGGATTTTTAGTAGCCATATTCGCCGACGATGCCGAAACTCGATATTGCCAAAAAGTTGGCAGGAGAAGGCTGAAAACTGTTTAAAATATCTGCGAAAGATAATTCCGCAGGCGTACATAACTTGTCCTAAAATATTGCTAGGAGCTTTCGGGACAACCTAATGGCCCCCAAGGAGACTGGCGTAGAATTCCGTATTCAGACATCTGCATGCGCCGCGTCGCGTCGTGCCGCGGCCCGGCGTTTCAGCGACGGTAAAAAGCGCGGAACACTTACCGTGAATACAAGAAATCGACATGGCGGATGAAATGCCGTCGCAGCAGCACACCGATTACGCAGGGGAGGGAAACGGGCGGAATCGATTTTTACGGCGATCGAGAAGGATAAGAATCGAATCTCTCCGCGCTGACGTGTCCTTTGCTTTCGAGCGTAACCGGGTTACCGTGTTCTAGACATCGCCGATTTACGCCCATAGATCGTACGTACACGAGTCACGCGAAAGTGGTCTTTTACGTGTGTGTCTTCTGTACGAGTTTATTGTCGGCAGAAACGTCGGCCCGTGAATCGATACTGCAGGTACCTATTGAGGTCATAGTGCATTATGCAACCAAAACCGCGTTTCCTCGCCTGTAAATGGTTAAGTACGTAACAGCGCTCATTACTCGCGGCGATCCCTTATCTCCTTCAATTGGGACACATGGGCTGTCAGCCGCGAGCCCGGCCCGAACTCGTCGATGACGGATTGCTAGCCGCGAACCGTGCCGCGAGAAAGAACGACCGCGAATGCATGGGGAGTGTTTGTAGCTTCCTCGTGCTTGGTACCATCTCCCTCGCTTTCAGTCGAAGAGTACGAAAATGAACAATATCTAAGATAGAATGAGAACCAAGATATTAGGTTGATGCGTATGAAATGTCGGACTTTTAAGCGAACATATAAAACTGCATATCTTTTTTCAGAAGCTGTTTATTTAATCAAAATATGCTCCATTCGCTTCGACACACTTTTCCCAACGAGATTTTAATGCATAGATGCCTGTCTTAAAGAAATGCTGATCTTTAGAATCGATAAACTCTGACATGGAATTTTTCAGACTGTCTTCATTTTCATACTGTTTAGCCCGTAAAAACTGTTCGAAATGTTTAAAAAAAAATGAAAGTCGGTTGGCGAAAGATCCGGCGAATAAGCTGGGTGCTGCAAAATTTCTTATTTTAATTCATTTAATTTCGCAATTGTTTTGTACGACGTGTGCGGCCGAGCGTTGTCGCGGAGAAGTATTAGGCCATGCCGATTAACAAGCGATGGGCGAATAATTTTCAATTTTTCATGCATTTCATCGATGTACTGGCAGTACTTTTCGGCTGTAATTGTCTCCCCAATTCGAAGGAATGAGCAGTGAATTACTCCAGTAACATTCGGTTCCACCAATGCTTTCAGAGCATCATTTTTCACAGACGTTTTGAGTCTCCCACGCGGTTCATTTTCTAGGGAAAAATCACCAGACTGAAAATTTTCAAACCAACGCTGCACTCTTCGATCGTTAACAGTACCCTCTCCAAACGCCTGGTTTATATTGCGTGCAGCTTTTGCAGCATCATTATCAAGTTTACACTCGTATAACGAAATTACACGCGAATATCGGTTGACTTCGTATCCTCGCGAAATTCAAAACAAATAACAAAACGAAACACTTTTGAGAAAATTTTCTTTGTTGAAATGTGACTCTGGCAATGGACAGTGTACGACTATAAACGGGGTTACGCCAAAGATAAAAGCATAATGAAAACAGGGAGACAAACGTTCACACGTGAAGAAAATCCGACATTTCAAGTGCACCACACAACCTGATAAAATAAGAAAAGAATAAATTACTAAGAAATTTTGCATTGTAAATCTACTGCACTGTAAATTCTGTACTTCTATTGATCTGTAATAATTCTGCACGGTAAATGTACTGTAAAATTTTCGAAAGTGACCGTCGTGAGATCATCGTCGGTAGATAATTATTTGTCGAATGTTCCCGTTTCATTGGTCCGGTACTCCTTGTTTCAGACCGAGAAAGTCATTCTTTTTGGCAACAAATCAGATTGTTGAAACGCGAGGAACCGAATTCCGTGTAACGTTACGATATAAATCGTGTTACCTACGAACCAGATGGAATCTGGCGCGGTGAAATTAAGCCGTATAAATTGCGACCGCCGACATTGAAAACGTGGGGCGCGGCAAGAGAGCGAGAGAGAAAGAGAGGAGGAAGAGAGAGAGAGAGAGAGAGAGAGAGAGAGAGAGAGAGAGAGCAGGCGCGAACAGGGAAATCGAGACGGTGACATCTGAAGTTGGAAAACGATTTTCCGGCGGCGCGGGCACAAGGCGCGCTGAAATTCCGTTACGTTTACGGAAACGTAGCCGCGGGATGCCGCGGCTGACGCACAATGCATTTCAAGCGGATTGTATAGCGGCACGACGACGAGAACGGAAACCATCGAGCCCAATGAAGCTCGTGGTGCCATTGGCCGGAAGAAAAGAATGCTCCTCGCGCCCGAGCGTTTTCCACCCGCGGAGTTGAATCCAGCCCGGCGGCTGGCTGGCTATTATAGAAACTACGATAGCATCGGGGAGTCGTCGGAAATGCTTGCCACTCTGTACGCTACGTGTGTCAATTTTCGAAATTAACAGCGCCCCAGAGCCGCGCTTCGACAGGCCGAATATCGCGAGCAAAATGTTGTTGGGAGGCTCGGGTTTTCATGCGGCGTGCCAGAATTCCAAGGGAAGTTCGGCAACTAGACGATTCGTGGAAATTTTCCACGAATTAGTTCGCGCGAGGCTAATGAAGGAAACATTTTGTTTGCCCGCGGCAAACCGGTGAGAACCCTCGCCGTAAATATTTAGGAAACTGCACAAGACACAGCAGAAGAAAGTTAGATGAAAAATTATAGGTTTTCGTAGTTTCCCCTTTCATTGGGAAACTTGGTGGATTACACTGTCCGACAGGATTTTTGATTTCCTATAGCCACTGTGAAATTCTTGTGGAGCTTCACTCCCCGATCGAGGATCCGAAAACCGAATTGCTTCATCACCCTCAGTTTTTGAAAAAAAAACGTGCTTTTGTAAAAACCCAAAGTTTTCGACAAAAATGAAGTATTGCATGAAAAGTAAAAATGTTAGAAAGTTCTAATCGGTCTCAAGAGATAGAGGAAAGTTTCCCGAATATAGTGGCATGCGATTTATGAATTGTTTTTGGTCCTAAATAGCAATAAATTAATGTCAAAGTTTAAAAAATTGTCGACGTGCGCAGTTTCTGCGCAATATTTTTGTACTTTTACGAAAAGTTGTTTGTCCTGCGCAAAAACTCTACCCAGGATCGGATTCTGTAAACATTTCCGTAGAAACAACGGCCTGGTAAAAGTGTCGGGACGATGTACATTTCTAGTAGATCGAGAAAATGTTCGACGACAACATGTACACGACGTTTTGCCGCCATGTGCTTCGCTACTCGTTTCTCTCTGCCCGACAGGGCCGAAGCTATGCGCAATCAACACCGATGGAGGGATCCAATGGGGCACCCACTTTGCGTGGGGCGTGCCACTTTGAATTTTTTTTTAGTACTTCAATGTGCTGTTTTCTTTTACATATTTCTGCGGATAATAATCACGAAACTGTGAATCATAAATTAAAAAGTACGACAAACATGGTTTTAGGAATATAGAAGTACGATTCTTACTTCTATAAGATCGTTCTATCGGGCCGTTTCTTCTTCAGAAATGTCTACAGAATCCGATCCTGGGTAGAGTTTTCGTGCCGAACAAAGAACTTTTCGTAAAAATACAAAAACATTGCGCAGGAACTGCGCACGTCGATAATTTTGTAAACTTTGACATTAATTTATTGCTATTTAGGACCAAAAACAATTAATAAATTGCATGCCACTATATTCGGGAAACTTTCCTCTATCTTTAGAGACCGATTAGAACTTCCTAACGTTTGTACTTTTCATGCAATACCTCATTTTTGTCGAAAATTCTGGGTTTTTACAGAAGTCCGTTTTTTTCGAAAACTGAGGGTGATGGAGCAATTTGGTTTTCGGATCCTTGATCGGGGAGTGAAGCGCTACAAGAATTTCATAATGGCTATAAGAGATCAGAAAAAAAGTTTGATTTTGTCGGACAGTGTTATCGGCGATAAATCGTAACAAAGAATATGCAAGTTCGAATTAAAATTTAAAGAGGATTTTGGAGAATCAAATAGTAAGACATTTGATTCGATTTTAAAAGACTTCGTTGAAAAGATGGAAGCTTGTGCAAGGAAAAAGATGAAAAGATTTTGCTGGAAGAAAGATGTTGTGTACGTACAAAACTCGAGGTGCTATTGTATAATATTAAGCGAACATTGAAGAATGCACAGAAAATCACGAACAATTCCACAGTCGAGTAAAACATGCCTTTCTTTCTCCGCAATCAAATTGCTTCTATTTTGAACGAAATAATTGCACACGCTGTACAGAAACGACAGAAAATACTAAACGCTACATACAGTAATGTCTCCCTTACTGACCCTCAGATTGTGCACAAAAATGAACAATTTGGGAAGAGGAGATACGATTATTCGAGCCTTGCAACTCATTGTTATAGTTGTTGACAATCGATAACCATAAAAAACGAGCCACAAGGCTCGAATAATCGTATCTCCTCTTCCAAAGTTGCCCATTTTTGTGGACAATCTGAGCGTCAATTAGAGAGACATTGCTGTACAATAATGTCTCCCTTACTGACACTCAAATTGTCCACTAAATTGAATAATTTGAGAAGAGGAGATACGATTATTCGAGCCTTGCGGCTCGTTTTTATAATTGTGGACAATTTATAACTATAAAAATAAACCGCAAGGCTCGAATAATCGTATCTCCTCTTCCAAAATTGTCCATTTTTGTGCGCAATCCGGGCGTCGATTAGAGAGACATCGCTGTACTTCGAAATATTTTTCGAACGATACGTCCATACGTGACGCAACGACGAAAGCACTTGTTGACTTCGGCAGAAGATGCACGAAAAGAGGTTCGCTCCTACTTCCGACTGGTGAATAATCCATAAATGAATAAATTTCTCCTCGAATTGGAAAAAAAAACGCGGCAGTATTTTTAGAATTGCATATTACGTTCATTGATACGGGTCCCGCGACTCGACTGTTACCAGTAAATCGATTAAGAAAAACGTTCGTTCTTTCGTGTACCCGTTCCCTAATGGTCCCTGCCTCCAGGCAAAAGAAAAAAAAAGAAAGAAAGAAAGAAGGAAGGAAGGAAGGAACGTATGTATTGGTGTTGAAAGCTGGGAGGTCAGTTCCCAGGAAGAATACGTGCGACATGTTCCCCCAGGTGTACATGAATCTGGTGTACGCGATGGCGATTCCGATACCGTCTTTCATAATCTCGGTGATATACCTCACCATCGCCTACTTCAAGATCTACAACGAAGAGGACGTGGTCCTCGTGGGCGGCGAGGAGGGCGAGGACGGCGGGGAGGGTGAAGGTAGCAACGCGACACCCCTGCCATTGACGAGCAGCGCCCTTACGCCCGGCAGCGAGGCTTTCAGGGAAGATCTAACAAGCTTCGGGTATCAACTGCAAATCGCCATGGCCGACGACGTCAGCAGGGACAAGCTGGACGAGATACCAAACTCGTACTCCACTCAGGGGTAAGCGGTCAATTTCGACTAAAAATCTTTCATTTTATGGCAGCCCGAACGCGGTCAACCGCGGGCTGTACGATCATTTTCCAATAGACCAGATCGTTTTGCACGCGCTCAAATTTTTAGTTCGATAAACGAGCCCGAACAATCTGACTAATATTCGTTTCAATGAGGAAACATACTGAATTATTTATTCGCCACCTTGATGAACTTGGTCATTTGCAAAAATAAATTCAACCGGTTCTTCGATTCTGTAGAACTTCTTCGTGAAATTCTTTATTACAATTAAACCTGTTTTTGTGCGGTAGGTAGGAACCGCAGAAAAGAAAGCTGCACGAAAAAGTTATTCAGAAAGTTCTTAAATAACTGTGACAAATAATTTTTCATAACATATTGAAGAAGACTAGAACATTTTTTTTACGCGGTGGAGAGAGGGACCACATAAAAGTCTCACTTAAAAAATATGTCAATTTTATCATCATCGTCATAGTAAATATAAAGAAATTTTCAAGATGTACATAATTCAATACTACTCGTCGTAGTAGTCCAAAACGAGCATATTGCGACGAACTGTGGTGCGTAACCGCTTTCGTCACTTGAAGATATTAGAGTTGATTTATTTTTTTGTTTGCAATTTTAGTTTCTAATGCAATTGTCTTTCTTTTCACTTTTTTTTTTGTTACGATTATTTATTTGAAGGGAGTACTTTTGTCTAAAAATAAAATAAAAATCATAAGAAACTATATCTAAATAGAAAAAATAATTAATTCACCTTTAATGTCACTGTAAAATTAATCCTATCTTAATGGTCAAAAGATACAGTGATTCGCATTAATATTCGGACACGATATTATTAGAAAAATTATTGCTTCCTTTTATCGTTTATGATTCTATTATTGAATCAATTGTTTTTTCATGTAATAAAACACTTCTTAGAGTAAGTAGAAACATAAATTTTATTCATTTATTGCACATGTTATTTTGTATAATAAGCGATAAACAAGATTGTCGATAATGAACTAATGTTATTAGATGATGCAGTATGTATTGAAATTGGCTGATGCAATAAGTATGAAAATGGCTGATGCAATGTCTGCATACACACTGATAGAAAAAAAAGTGATGCTAGCACCTTTGAGAGTGACATAATCTCGCAGCGAACTTACATATAGCTAATAGAATCTCGATACATATTCATATACCGCATAAAAAGATCGCATTAAAAAGACAGTACAAAAACTGGTTTGAATAGTATTCTACTTTATTGAATTTCGATGAGAAATTTAACTAATTCTAAGCACATTTATAAAGTCGAGGAAGATTAAAATAACAATATAACCGACTTAATTTACTTAACCGCTTCGATTCCATGGACGTGTTATATCCCAACGCCGATACTGTACGTATAAAGTCACAGACGCGATATCTCGCGACGTAATGCCGCTTGTGCGATGTCACGGGCGTGTTATCTCGCGACATAATGCCGCTTGTGCGATGCCGCAGACGAGTAAACACGCGCTTCTGTTTTTGCTCTGACTATGGACACTTAGCTTGCTTCTATGTTGTGTCAATGCAACCAAGCTTTTCCGAATTAAAGCTCTCGGATAAAAGCGTGTTTACAAAACAGAAGCACGTGTTTACTCGTCCGCGGCACCGCACGGACGATATTGCGTCGCGGGATAACACGTCCGCAGCACCGCACAAGCGGCATTACGTCGCGAGATAACACGTCCGCAGCACCGCGCAAGCGGCATTACGGTCGCGAGGTAACACGTCCGTGGCATCGCACAAGCGGCATTACGTCGCGAGATATCTCGTCTGTGACCTTGCATAAACAATATCGGCGCCGCGACATAATACGTCAGAGTGTGATCCGTTATAGTACCAATGAATCTTTAAATCTCCATTACATGTACAAATTACTTCATAAAAATTAGTATAATACACAGTGCCCTATGTATATTGTCCACTCGAAATATGTGCCCATAATTATGAAAGTGGTCTAAGTCAAAATTTAAAAAAAAATTAATTTATCACTTATTTCACACGACATGATTTTCAACTAAATTTATTCAATGTAATTTTTACGATATCGTCAAAAATGAACCTTTAGATAGTAGTTGTAATTACAACGTTATACGTAATTCATTTAGTGTTAATTATGAAAGTGGTCTAAGTCAACATTACTATGAATTGATCGAAAATTGTAGAAAAAGAAATACATTTTCGATGAAACGAATATCGCAGCCAGATTTTATTTCAACGAAATCACTTGAAAAATCAATAACAAGGAGAGTAAAAAATATCACGGGCGTATCTGTCTCTTGGCTAAAAATTCAATGGATGAGATTCTTGAAAAATGAAACTTATAAAATGTTTTATGAGACTTCTTTAGATGATTCTGAATTCCAAGTTTTGAATCTTTCACCTAAAAGAGGAAGACCAAAAATATACGAAAATATTCAATTACTTCCATTATGCAACACCACTAGACCAGTAACGGAAGAAAAACATAAAGATCTTATGTGTTTACTACCATACATCCCTCCAGTTTTTCAGGAACATTTTAAAAATCTTAAAAACTCGAAATTATGATAAAAATGGATTACTTTTTAAAAATGAGTAATAAATGTTTATGAATTATTTCGTTAAAGTTGTTGTTTCAAATGGACCGTTTATTTTGAAAGTGGTATAAGTTCTTTTTTTTAAAGAAATTCAAAATGCCGAATCTGAGCTTGTATTGTCTAAATACCCCGCGCAACGCCACTTACAATTTCTTTCGATGACATTGGACTTACACCACTTTCAAAATAAACGGCTCAAATAAAAATCACAATTTTTTATTACTTTAAGTCAATTATAGGACATTCAGTTAATTTTGAAAATGGTCTAAGTCAATTCAAGCTTTAAAAACAACATTTTCCTATGAAATTCACACAAAATTTCATATCTATAATAAATTTCCATTAATCAAGACTAATAAAATTATAAATTAAAATGTCGCATAATGTAAAAATATTTTTTAATTTATTCAAATGCGATTCATTAAATATCTCGAAACAAGAAATATATGACTTAGACCACTTTCACAATTATGGGCACATATCATTGTTACTTTAAGCAATGCAGTATTATCAGTAAAAAAAAAAGAATGTAGGATTTAAAGAAACGCACAACCTGAAAGCTTTTCTTCCGTGAAAACATGTGAAATAGGAGAACGTTTCGAGTTAAACTGGATTTCCCGCGATATACCGGATGCCGCAAGATCGTATATTACTTATCGCACATCGGCTGAGCTGAACTGGATTTGATCTATTGGATAGGTGAAAACCAGGTGCTTCGCGCTCGTTACAAGTACATAATAACGTTACACCGCGGCTAATGGCAAGCTGGGCTCAATCGAGCAAAATAAGCGCAGTTAACGGAACACTTGGATGGCTTTCAGTGGTGTTCACCTCGGCATCCGGAAAAGCACATTATTTCACCGCGGGGCTTCCGGTCAATCCGAGATTCGAATAATCGATTCGTCGATTTTATACGCTTACGACAATGATTTTTGGATGAAACACGAAACCCCGAACACGTCAGAAAATTTTCAATGAAGAAGTATATCACCGATTCGGTTCTCGATTCTTCGCATCAACGTCAAACATTTTTATTTTGAATTTGCTGCATTTGCAGTGTCTTTTTAACATAGTTACGTTTATTATTCAATATATTATTATTATATTATATATATATTTATTATATATTATTATTATTTATTATATATATATATATATATATATATATATATATATATTTATTTATATTTTTTATTTACTTCTTCATTGAAAATTTTCTAACGTATTATATATAATGTAATATATATATAATGATAATATATTTATGTGAAGAATCGAGGATATATATATACATATTACATTATATATATAATATATATACAATATATATTATATATATATTGTATATATATTATATATATTATTGTAAATATTGTAC